ATAAAGCTGTGTATATATATTAGCCCAACACATCTCATTCCTCTTAACCATATTTATTACTTAAACACTGCAACATCAATTTTGCACTTGGAAGAACAAAAGAACAGAGAAGAGAGAGAACAAGGGTTGTTTGTAGAGGAATGTCATTGTGAAATGACAAAACATCCCTGAATAACAGTGAATTATCATTAGATCTCTTTTGGGGCCCTCTCTATTTCTATTCAGTTCAGTTCCTGCTCTGTGACTGGTTGAGGGCAAAGCAAGGCAAATTAAAATTCAAGCTGGAAGTTGCTATTCATGCAGGGAAATAATCCAGCAGCTCTGATTGCCAGGCTTGGAAGCTAATACTAATTCATTTCTGCAGAGTGTGTACAATTTTTTCTTTATTTTCCTGAGCTGCCGTATTGCCAGTTCCTAAACCAGATAAAGCCATGGAAAGGTAAATACTTACCACAATTACATTTATTTTTTGTAAATTTAGGTGTTTTTCTTAATTCTCCATCTTTTTCTCTGTATGAGAAAATAAAATATTCCGAGCAGCTATAAAATAAAGGTAAGGATTATAAAAATAATTATTTTGCAGAAAATTGATCCATTTTGCACCACCTCAGAGTATTTCTTAGGAGCATGTAATTAGTTCTGTACCACAGGACTTCATCCTCCCACTCAAGGAAAGGTTTTCTTACCCTTTCCTTACTGAGGAGCAGCACTCCATTGCCTGCTGCAGAGCATTGCAGTTGAAATAATGGCAGCAGGAATTTTTTTTTTTTTTAATATCTGTGAATATTCAGCTCTTGTCTCTTCTGCACCAACATATTCTGCTTTGGACCTGGTGAAAAATGAAAACTTTTTCCCAACCCTGCCCCTGCATTCAGCCTGCAGAGTGGCCTCTTTAAAGACCAGAAAATACCTAAATGTCTCTCAGAGGTACTGAAATTTTGCTTTAATAAATAAAAATGGGTGACCCTGGTCACACTTACTTGATTTTTGAGTTAAACTCAGGTATTGTGAACTCACTGCTGTGACTGGAGATAATGACAAGTCAAGAGGTGGGGATTATTTCCTAGAAGCAATCCCCATTGTTACATTGCCTTAGATATCTGTGATTTTCATTCTTTTCAGAACATGCCAATGCAGTATTTTCCATCTGAGTCACTGTCCTGGCGTTTGGAAGGTGCAAGTTTTGTACTCAATTCCTATTAGAGAGGGAGTGCCTCGTCTGCTCAAACACAGTGCAGTTATTATCCAGTTATTTCCTTTTAAAAGATGAATAGTTTTATGTGGCCACTAAGTGATACAGGATATGACTGGGTGAATTACTCACAGGAATTTAGATATAATAAATAAGAAAGTAAATCTGGTTTCATCATCTGTCTCCCTTGATTCTTTGGGGAGGAAGTATTGTTTTCTGCTTTCTGAAGAAACGCTGTAATTTGAGCTAGTCCACAGTGCTGTGGTCAGAACCAGATACCAGCTAGTCCTAAACCACAATTTGGAGTCCATTTTCATACACAAACATGTGGGAAACTTGTTGCATTTGTTCCCAGAGATGAAAAGTCAGGAAGGGAGCGTGACTTCCTGAGAGAAGGGTGGATTAATCTAATACAATATATAGCATTTATTTATTTTCCTTACTGTCTGTATACTTCAGAAGAAGTGAGGAAGTTGCAAATGCCACAGCTTGGTACCAGAAAAGCCACAGAGTGAGTTTTCTCTTTTTTCCCCTTGTGTAGATGTAACCAAAATTAAATTATTTGTAGCATAGGGTCAGCCCCAAACTCACTCTCTCTGATCACTCAAATACACATCTAACCATACTTTGCTGTTCTTCACCAGTTTTGGAGTGAATCTTTTGAAAGGGAGTCTGTACTGCATCTTTGCCAAGCACCTAAACCGGGCAGTGATTAATTAGTTGCCCCTTCTTATTCCCAAGAAGCCCCAGAGGCTTAGTTCAGCAGCTCTAAATGGCAAGCCTCATAAAGAGGTGGAGAAACTTGGTTTCAGAAGCCAAAGGCAGAGAGGCAAAAGGGAAGAAGTTCAATAGAAGTTCAGAACTGCCTTTCACTTTTACTTCTTTCTCTCTTTGAAAACAAGATGAAGATGGAGCTGAAGTTCATGCTGATTTGCTCGCAGGAGTTTCACCGTTCCTTCCCTGCTCACAACTCCCCTTTTCCACTCCCAGCAGCGCCTGAGGAGACCAAAATGCCCAAACAGTTTCAGGAGTCAGACCCCACCAGTCTGCAGACACACAGGGCACAGACACCACCTCTTGCAGTAAACCCAGAGCAGATTGGCCTGCTAGGATTTATTGCTTCCCCACTTGCTGGCTAATTTCTTGCAATTACCTTCCTTCTTTACCTGGAGATGTATTTCAGAGATTAAAATGTTGAGAAATGTGAGCTGTTCCTGTGATTAGACACTGCTGCCAGGACAGATGGGAATTCTAGGCTCACAAGCTCCATTCCTCCCACAGGACCAAAACCTTGCAGCTTCCATCTCCACACGAGACCCACGGCATTGCCTGGCTTGGCATGGTTGGGATGGGAACACTGGCAAAGGCTGCCCCATCACCCACCTGCAAGGGCAATCAATCCTCTTTTCAGAAAAATCCACTCTGTTCCTGTCAGCTAACCTGGGTCTGAGAACGGCTGGCAAAAGCCTTTTCTTCCTTCCTTCCCTACTTTGCACCTTTTCCTTAGCTCCTTCTCATAGTTCAGCTGGAGAAGATAACAACTGTTTTCCCATTTAGAAGTAAAAATAGGGAATAACCTTTTCTTCTCTTACAAATTGCTTAACCACATGCCTCTCGCTCTGAAAAATGGACTTTGTTACACTTAAGCTTGTTCAGCACAAATACTCTGCTAAATATTTTGTATTTTGATTCTTGTTTCTCATGGTCATTTGAACAGATACAATTCCTGTTTTTGTATGAAATATTTCCTGTTTTGGCATGAATTTTTTTTCCAGAGATGATACTAAGCCAGATGAAAGCTATGACCTCAAAATCTTTAATCTTTTTGGATTTTCCAAGGCCTTTGCCTCATGGTAACCAGCTCAATGGTGCACCCAACTCTTTTCTGCTCTCACAATGCATCTGCATTGATTTATTTTAGCTTTAACTGACACTGAAGGTTAGAAAAGTAACCTACAAAAACTGTCAGTTTTTATTTTATCCAAAGTGAAACCAATCACTCAATGAGTACTACTGAACCTCATGCAAAGCACACTGAAGGGAATCAATGGAAATATTTTCTTTGGCTCCAGGTGGCCCACATAGCCATAAAAATTAAGGATAGAGTTAAAATTCAAAAGAAGCCACATTCATAGTTAGTTTTTTCTTCAGAAAGGCCTGTTGGCCTAAAAAAAGAAGGTTAAAAAAAGAACTTTGGTTTTCTCTGCTATACTAAAAATGGCATGTTGTGTTTGGTTATGGAATAAATAGTGCTCAAATGTGCAAAGAATTGAACCAGAGTTTGAATGGAATTCATATAAATTTTAAGACGGGGTTTTTTCAGTGGAAAGAGGAAGAGAACTTGTTTACTCTGAAAACTTCATAGGAAAATACAAATGCACTCAAGTGATGTACAGAGCTCTGGGAGAGGTCAGACTCCGGAGGAATCAGGATGAAAAGTAAATTATTATTGCTTATTGGAAATCACAACAGCCAAAAAGATCATTAACAGCTCAGGACCAGAGAGCATAGGGGGGTTAAAAATAGAAATGTGTCTGTGCCTTGATGTGAGACTTATTCACCCTTAAGCTATTTAAGACTGCAAAATATTTGTAGGACAGTATCCTGGAAACACAATGACATGGAAATCCAGGAGATTCAGACTCACACTGGCAGCACTTGGGGTGAGAACAGCTTCCTCCTCCTTGGATGCACTGACAGACATTGTGTTTTTGCTACCAACCTCACACAGCAAACAGTGATTCAGCAATAGTTCAGAAATGTCCCCTGAAGCCATTTCCAGCAGGAATCTTCTCCAAGGTCTGCATTTTCTCTTGGACCAAGCACATGGATGCCATGACCTATCTCTTCAATACATTAAGGTGTTGGGTTTGAGACTTGTTTTTCTTTGATCAAATCCAGGCTGGGAAATGGTTTTGTGCTTATGGTTTTGGGGCAGAAGCATGCCAAGAACAGGCTGACTGCATGTTATGGACATGGTGTCATACCAGCACTGAATTCAGCTTTGTACTTGCACAAATTAAATATTTGGTTTGCAATCTATCTTTCATTAAACCTGGTCACTGTGCGTCACATCAAGGCATGTGCAGGTATTCTTTGATCACTTCCAGATTCCTGCTTCCCTATTTTATTTTTCTTTTTTTCCCCCCCTCTATTCCAGTAAATCCTTTCTAGCACAATCCTGCCTCAAATTTGCTATTGTTAAAAGCAAACTTTTTTTTTTGCATCCCAAATATGAAAAACCTTCAGGAAAAATACCACAACCAGAGTGGAAGTGGTTTTCTGGATGGCATTATCTTACATCTACTGAGCTTATATGTACTATTCCGTCTTTAATAACTGATGATCCCACACAGTTAACAGCTAGACTGTGGTTTACCTGCTTGTGTTGTCCATATCCATTCTCTCAGGATACAATTCTCACCTTCTAAGCTAAATTTCCTGACTGGGAGCATGAATATTTTCCATCAAAGAAAGGAAGGCTGGTGTGAAGCCTCGTGCTTTGCCTCCTCACATGACAGTTAAATGGGAGAGGGAGAAAATATTGCAATCAGCAGGTGAGGTTTTGAGGCCAACTTTGCTTGGACAGCTCCCTCGGGGCAGTGGAAATGTGACAGCCACAGTGGAGCCATTCTGCAGTCAAAAACTCCCTTTGTGCTCCTGGAGATGGATTTCAGGTGGGATTCACTCATCTCCAAGTGGGTCTCTAAAGCAGCTCAAACACCAGACCTACCTGGGACATTTTTAGGGAGATGTTTACTCAGAGCACAAGGAGAGTTGGGAACAGAACCTGTCCCACCGGAGAAACTCTTGGATATTAAAGTTTATTTCAAATAACTTACTTCAAATAAGTGTTTAAAGAAAAAGGAAAAAACCCAACAAAATAAAACAGATTTAGTATATATTTGCTTTTCTTAAAAAATGATTCCATGAAAGAATTTTATAGATATCTAAGTAGTAATACAGATTTTTATATACAAAATTCAATTTCAAACAATTTACTGTACAAAATAAAGTGTAAGCAACTGTTACTATTCCATGATTTCAGCAAATAATGAAAAATTCGGATAAGTATGTGTTCAGGATATAGTTCCACCATTTACAGGAATGTCAGTATTAAGTTGGGAACACTTTTAGGTCAGTATTTACAGATTAAATCCCCTTTGAGGACCATCCCTAAGATTTCTCTTCAGAATAGGCAGTTTGGCTTTCTCCTGGATCTTTTGGGCTATCAAGGAATGAGAGGAAGAACATGTTTTCAACAAAATGTGTGGACAGAATTCTGCTTGATTTCTCCCCAGTCCTATTTCAGTTAGTGGGCCTGATCTGGTAAACACTTACTAACCAGGCATTACATTTATGTGGGAATAAATCAGGCAGGATTTGGCCCTACAGCAACATGCTACCATAAGGTACAAATTTTAAAAATAGTGACATTCCTGCAAGTCAAAATACAACAGAAACAAGAGTTAACAAAATATAAGCCCTTTATTAATAAAAATCTTTGGTTGGATCAATATTTTAAATAAGCTTCAAGAATATTTGGTTAATACCATTTTCTTTCTTCCACATAATTTCTCTTTTGGTACCTTCTTTGGACAGACTACAGAAAAATATCAAGTTTATCACATACTTTAAAACAAATAAATATATCAAAAGCTATATATGGCATTCTTTTTAAAGTTCTAGCATTAATCTTTAAATTAGTTTGGCAAAGAAAAAAAAAAGAAAGAAAAAAAGAAATAACTAACCTCTTGAAAACAGTTTGGTTTTGTAACAAACCATACAGTAGTTAGACTTTAAAGAAATCTTTCCTTTTTATTTTCTTTTTCAATTTTATAATGCAAGTGCCATGGACAAGACAAAGCAATAAAAGAAATTAGGTTAATTGCACCAATATTATTTGGAAGTGCAGTTTATAGGTTGACAAAGCAAAACAAAAACGTATTATGCTTAAAAAGAGCTGTACTGATGGCATTTAGCTAGTCATGGTAAGGATTTCAGACTTACACTTTAGGGGAAAGCTCTTTGTACAAAAGACAGAGGATTTTAAGACAAAAGAAAATTCCTGTAACTAGCTGATGGTCTGGTCCTGTAGGCCCAGTGCAGGCAAAGCTTCCACTGAAGACAGTAAGTGGGATGCATTTGGGATTTACTCCTCTGGCACAGCCTCTGGGAAGTGCCAGCCAACAGCAGAAAGTCTGTGGGAAAAGCTGGCTGTGAAACACGGGGTGCAAGCACTCCCTTCTGCTCCAGAGGGCTACAGGGAAAAGCCAGGCTGGACAGGGATGTGCTGAAACATTGGGGAAAAGGGAATTTCCTCAGCAGCGGCAGCGTGCGAGTGCTTGGCAGGGCAGTGAGAGTCACTAGAGCTCTCTGTGTGCTCTTTAACTCAGGGCATTTAACAAATCTTCTGTGACCATGGACCTGCTGGGAGGATCTCTGGAATTGTGCTGCTGCTGCCAAGAAAGCACTGCCCAGAATCCCTGTGCTGATGTTTCCAGAGGCAGTGGTGCCCCGGGGAGGGTCTGGGGCACACAGCAGACTGCCACAAGTCCCTGCCACACCTTTGGGACTCCAAAGCTCAGGCTCACAGAGCTAAACCCAGCCTTGGCAAGCAAGTCAGTCTGATTGGCTTTATGAAATGCGAGGGAATACTGATTTTGCATCTCATTTAGCGAGTTACCCCATGGACCTTCAAACCCGGCTCTCTAAAAATAGTTCAATTAATATTATTATTATTATCATTATTATTATTATGACTTCAAATTTACCTTTATTTCATTAACTAATTGATAGGCTAAGATCAGATTCCCAGAGAATATCCCTAGCAACATTGTCCTAAGTACCTGCATTTCTTAATGCACACCAACATTGATAGCATTACCTAAGGATGAAATATAAAAACTCCCTGCATTACGGCTTGTGCAAAAGAAAAAACAAAACAAAACAAAACCCTAACATAGTCAGAAATATAACGTGGTCCTCCATGTTTGCAAGAAGGGCATTTCTCACAAAGATGGGAGTGAAATGGCAGCACATCCTTCAACGTGCACCGGGGTGTCCGTCACTGGAGTCCTGCCCTTGGCGCCATGGCTTTTGTCTCTGGAATGCCCTGACAGACTCAGCTCCCTCCTCTCCTAAACGTCCAGGGGATAGGAATGGCAGGAGGACAAGCTCCCACTGCGGCTCCTCGAGAGCTTGGGGCTGTGGTTGTTACAGTTTTCCCCTTTTCTCTTGTCCTTGTCTTTCCAGGTTTCCAGCATCTGCATCTTCCCTTGCTCTTCCCTCATGAAGACCTCCACCATGAGAACTTTCTCCTTGTGAATCTGCTGACTAATGTCCTTGGGAATGTCTGGGATAATCCAGTCAACAAATTCACTCATGAACATGACCAAGTTCTGAAAATGAATTTGTGAGAAAGTGTCAGCAGGGTCAAATTAAAGGGTAGCTGTAGGGAAAGGAGAGGGCACTTAGGAAGGAAAAATGAAGAGAGGACAATATTTGAGTTGGACTATGGGACCAAATTCCCCTCAACTATTTTGTGTGTACTAGAAGAAGAGAAATATATTAGGTATAGACCTCTATGATTTATGCACCAATCCTGACACTGCAGCCACTTAGAAATCCAAAGGAATTTGCAATTGGTGAGTGGCTCATGAGATTTACATCAGGAAGACAGAAGCAAATACAAGAGGTAAAAAATGGTAAAAGTTGGTAAAATACATTCTGATTGAATTTTTCTAATTGAAAAACCTTGACTCAAGGAATGGGTGGTCTTTCCCAAAAAGAGAATTTTTAATCAAAAAAAGCCCAATAAACGTTTTGAAACAAGTTATTCAGATAAGGCAGACTTAAAGCATTTGTGTCACAATAAGTAGCATCACTGTTGTGATTAAATAATGTCTTTTAAGGACAAATTACAAGATTTTGGCTTCTTATTCAGATGCAAATAAAACTTGGAAAATTTTGAAAATCTCATTTCTTGGCTAGCTTTAAAAATTATTTTGGATTAAATTTATGCTGCTTCAGTGAAATTGTTGATGCCCTTTGGGAGAAATTGGTGGGATCTAATTAGTATCAACCTTGTGCTTTGCTGGTCTCTAAGGTCATTAAGTTGTTCTGTATCAAACTAGTTCAGGGAATCCCTGGGGATGAATTTTTCCACTGAGGATATACCAGGGCCTGGGTGGGTGGGACAAAGTGGGTGATGAAGATAGGCAAATTTCTTTGGCTTTTCCATGAAACAACAGATAAAGAAGATATTTCTTTGGCACATTAACTTATTCCCAAATGCATGCAGTGTCACCTACCTGGAAAACTATCACAAATGCCAATCTTGCTGCTAGGACAGCCCAGAAGTCCTTTGAAATGTCATATTTGTTTTCAGACCAGGGGGGTTCTCTATAATCTTTGTACCTGCAAAACAAGACTCAGTAAATCAGGGGTGCAATTCAGAAATGTTGGCACTGGAAGGAGTTATTAACAAACAGTCAAGCAATAAATGGAACTGTCTAAAGAAAAGTTCACTATATTAACCTCTCGGAAACAAGACACAGCTGAAACTCTCCCATAGTCATCAAGTTAGCCTTAATATTAATGTTTAATTCATCTTAATACCCTCTGATTACTACATATAATATCAATTTTGCATAAAAGAGAGCTACACAGCTCTGTAAAAAGGCATAGGTAAGCATAGGTAAAAAGGCAACAAATGTTTTTCAAGCTGATTTTAAAGACAAAATACTGATCTCAGATTCATAGAATGTGTTTAACATGTGATTAGCAAAAGGTTGAAGCTAAATTTTGCCATATGGAGAGAATTTTTCCTTATCTATGGCTTATGGAAAATCTATATGTTGATAAACGGGACCAAGAAAATACATTAAATTCTAAACCATAGCATCCAGTCAATATTTTGTAAGAATTAAGGCTCTGCATTTTCAAATTATTTTAAAATCCTTGGGATAAGGATGGGATTGAAAGAAGACAGAGGCTGGGAGTGGAAAGCAAATAAATCTGGCATTTTCCTTTTGGACCACGATGCCAACACTTCCATTCTGTGCTGAAAAATGTTTGCCAACCTTGCTTAACCTCTGCCCGGAGAGCAGCAGGAGGAAACCGGAAGAAAGTAAAAGCAAGCAAAGCTACTGCAAATGCAGTTTGGGCTGGTTTTGCTTTCATCTCTGAGTGAATTTTCTGTTTAGAGGTAATTTGATCATATTAACTTGCACTACTCAAATGCATAAAGAATATAAAATAATATGATTCAAAGGGAAGATTTTTTACTTGGCCAGTTAGTGTGAATTTTTTTACTATGCATGTATCAAAATCATCTTTGTTTCTTTCTCCCCTGGAATATCTCTTCCTTCCTTACTCTCCTCTCTCTCTTCCTCCCTCCATTGTCCCCTTTCAGCTTTGTTGGTCTAAGTGCTTTCACTGTCAGATTTGGATTTGATGCCCGGTTCTAAGAATGTCTTAGCTGATAGGGAACCACAATTTTCCTTTAAACATGAGAAGAATAGATATGAATTGTCACAGGCATGCAAATTTCTTCTGTGTGATGACACTATAAATAAATTCTAAGTTCCAGTGCAGATAAGGATGCTACTATTCTCATCAGGAATTGGGAACTGAACAAGAAAAAAGAGGTCATGGTCATTATATCATGACATGACATCAGAGTGTCGTATTTTTCTTCCCTTAAACCATCATTGTGCTGTTTATTACTATTTGTCTCCTTTCCTGGAAAAGGGAATCCATGTTAATAAAAATTTTTGCATGGACAAGCACTGAATTTAACTAACAATAATCTCCATTTCTCTAAATAAGCAGTAAGTCATGTTCAGGTCTGTGATTATTTAATATGCAAGCAAGATGTTCAAGGTGATGGATCCATCTGATAGAAAAGGCTAGCAAGGTGCTAAAAAGGTATTGAAAATATGAAGAATCTGCCCCAGGAATGTAAGCATTTGCCACATTGTTAGCCAGCTGTGAAAACACTTGGCATTAGCGATCATTCAAGAGAGTACCTGCATATCTGAACCTCGTAGCCAAGATCCAGGGGGTCGTTGGGAGCTGTTCCTGCTTGGAAATCGCTGACATTAAAAGAGGATAGTGTATGGTTGACGAAGCCATGCATGGTGCCATTCTCACTGTACATGTACAGGTACACGAGGCGTGGAATGAAGTCGGATGTGAATGAGATCACAAATGCCTGAGCCACAAGAGTAAAGAGTGAGCATGGTACCCAGGCAGAGCTTAACTTCATCACATCCTCAACCAACTACTCACACCACTCAGGGGAGCCAAACTACTGCCCAAACTACTCGCACCACTCAGGGGAGACTGAGGGCCCCGAAAGTGGAGCATTCACTGCACCAGCAAGGGATTGTTCACTGCCCAGTCTCCTGAGGTGCAGTGTATTCCCTGGAGCAGTGCCATGCCAGCTGAGGTGTCTGTGTGGGTGACAACCTGGGCCCCCAAAAATGGAGCAACTGTAGCCCCCAGCACCACAGGACAGCTACCACAGCTCTGCTTCCCTGTGTCCCCATCACAGCTTCTCCCTGTTGCCTTGAACAAGGTCCAATTAATTGATTTCCAGCTGCTTTTCCATCCTGCAAACAACCCACTGTGATTTGACTCTTCAAAGTCTCTTTGCATTGCAAAAGCATGTTAATTGTGTGTGGTTCTTAACTTCATCAGGATAAAAGGACGAGGAGACTGAGCCCAGTTTTATTTTTATAGTCACAAAAGTTGCATTTCATCCAGTTATTTAAAATTTTCTGAAAAGATTGTGGGGAAAAAGCATGACAGCCAATTGGGCTGAGTTCCTCATGACTTTAGCCTTCTTAATTTATCATCATTATGAAACATTGCCTCTGGCATAAATCTCATGTATATGTGGAACAAAGAGTACAAAATGTTTTACTTATTTTATGGTAAAGAGGAGCAGTACATTGATCAAAGAGGGAAAACTAACACTGGGTATTGATGAGGAAAGACTACACAGAACAAAAGAGAAAACCAGAGAAATTAGTTCCAAAAGAAAGCAGGAGAAATGGAAAGACAAACTAAGGCAGCATACCAAAATAATGGGTTTGCCATAGCACAACAGACCCCTGGGGACAAAATGAAGGGATTTCAAGTCTGGATAATGTAAAAGAACCCCAAGGGAGTCCATGGCCATGTGGCCATAAGCCCTACAGAGCCCCTGCTTTGCTGCACTGCAAGCATCTTGAATTTCAGCTGGCCTTTGTTTTCATCTTTCCCTCAGCTGGGGTGCAGGGAGGATGATCATTGTGGACGTGTATTCATATAGAATAGTGCAGAAGTACATGCATTAAGGCCTGCTAAATTTTTGTGAAATGTTGAAATAAACTTTTTTTTCCAGGATTTTCCAAGCTCTCTGAGTGGGAGCAACGCAGCTCGAGGGCAGATTTTCAGTGGAGGGATTCTGCACTCTGAGGAGCTGAACTGGTTCTCACCTTACTCAAAATAGCACTGAAATTAAAAAATACATCTTATGCTACTGATAGTATTTCAAAAGAGTAAAAGTAAGCAGCTGTGATCATATTAGTTTGAAGGAGAGAACTGTTTTACAAAACCATTCTGGAAAAAAGCAGCAGTGACTCCTTACTATTTTATATTATTGCTACTGCTATCACAGCTTGAAAATAAATACAGCAACTCATCCTCAGGTATTTCCAAAAATTTCTCAATCATATACTTTCACTTGATTGAATGTTTTTGTACTGAAATAAAACTAATGGAGCAGAATGGAAAAGCCAGCCTATTGAATTAAAATTTAATTCATGCTGATTTACTTACATTTATGATGACAGCAAGCTTTCCAATACCTCTGAGGATATTATACCAGATTCCTGAGGAAGGAGACAAATATGTAAATGCTGTTCTAGTCCTTAAAATGAGATAAATTACATCTTCAGTTAACAGAGTTAGGAGCATGGATGATTGTGCTGAGCTAGCTGTATTTTAAATAGAAAAAGAACACATTATAAAAACTTAATTTAATGGCTTGTAAGCAAAATGAGCCCAACTAGGTTTTGGCATCTATTTTTTTTTTTTTTTTTTTTTTTTTTAGGTTTTGAAGAATGAGCTTGAACTACAATGAGTTGCAATTAACACAGAAACAAATAAAAAATAATCAAACTCCCACCACAATAAAAAAAAAAATCCACATTACCCTCCCAATCATCTCCACCAGCAACCTGAACCTGCAGCATCAAATCAGGGAGCCACAAAACACCCCCAAAGCAAAGTCATGGCAAAACATGATGTGTTCTTCAAGTCTAGGATGGTCCTAGGGCACAAGGATGAGCCCAAGGAAAAACTCTGCCTGTACTGCAGTAGAATGAACTTAGAGTATAATAACAGATAAACTTCTCTGCTCTTGCTGCTTGGCTCTGTAACAAAGACAGTTATTTTATTTCTATTTTTATTTTAATGAGCTTTTAATTAATAATTAACCAGCATTTGGGAGAAGCAGCTCCCTCATTACAAACACCCTGTGAGTTCCCCTGTAAGGGTAGGACTGGGCTCTTGTCCCCACACAGGCACAGAGCCCAGCTCCAGCTCCATCCACTGCACTTTTCACCCTTCCAACCTTCCTGCTGAGTAGGGACAAAGGGATACATCTATCCACAGATTTTTGAGTCCCCTCTTATTCCCAAGGGTATTTCTGAGGCCAGTGCAGAGTTATTAAATACAAAATTTTTTTGCTTCTGCACAGAAACTGCATTACCAGGAAGGGTTGTTGATGTCAGAACCATGTGAGATATTTTGCTATTGCACTGATCATTTTGATTTAAAAAGCGATAATATTTACTTAATGAAATATTAATCTGAATTTAAAGCTTTGGTCTTTCTATTTTAAAAGTAAAGCCTCAATAAATTATGACAATTCATAGGTAAGCCACAGCTGAGTGGTTTGACTTTTCCTATAAGTATCTCCCTGTTATTGAAAGTAGCTCAGCATAATAATAATATCCTGCCATCAATCCAGGAATAAACAAACAGGGATACAATAACAATATCCACTTACCTATATCCTTTGCTCTCACTGCTACCGGTCTCCTCAGCTCAGTAACAAATTTTTTGGCATCCAGACGGATTTCAATGATGTTGTTCAATAAAGCGAACAAAGGTGCCAGTGGGAAGGAGGCAACAAACAAAGTCACAAACCCAAACTGGATAACTGGAAAGAAAAAGAAAACATTTCAGAGCCTGTTGTCAGTATTTACCAAATATACCCATCACCACATCAGTGCCAGCCCCTAAATTCTGACAAAGTGATGAATTCTGGGAGACTCAATCCCATTTTGTGTGTCAGGCATAGTCTGCATGATGGCTGCTCCATTTGGGTATGGAAGGGCCTTCTAAAAGGCAAGGCAATAGTAACCAGAAGGATGGGGAATCTCCTAAAACAATCCTTCCATGGGCAAAGCTGGCACAGGAGGCACCCGAAGGAGTGGGATTATGGCAGTGACCGTGTTGGCTCTACCTAAGCTTTCCATGTTCCACCTGGCAGGCCTTTTGCCTTCACTGGAAGCTTTGGAAAGGACATGGCTGATTCCTGCCCCTGACAGGAATACCTTGCTTCTTATAATCTGGGATCATATATGCTTTTTGTGTGGATGTCATGCTCATCCTGGACTGCCAGTGCCCATCTTTCTCCTGTTACTTCCAAATGCTGATCTCAGTAACAGCATCTTTTCTTATTTTTAGGAACTGGCAGCATGGCTGTACAGTTTGTACCACTGAATTCCCATCTGCTTCATGTACTGTGAATATCAAGGTCACCAGATATTCTAATTTGTCTCACTCATGTTAACATAAGATACTATTTGAAAAAAAATTCTAGGTGATCTTTCAAGTACAGCCAGATCAACAGACATGCATTGCTCTCAGAAAATTTTTTTCAGATATCAGATAAAAGACTCTGGTGTGGAAATAATCAAATCTGAACTAAGTTACTTCCAGTGAAGGGTTCAACTGATGGTAAAATATGCCTCACAATCTCAAGTAGATTTGCATTTGAAACTTGACGGTGATGTGTTACATGACTTGAAAGAAAATAACCAAAATATCATTCTAAAGTAAGAGCTTGCAAATAACAGAGAGCACAATTCAGCCCTCCAGCAGCCAGGATTGGCTGAAACACGCTCTAGTCCACGACTGCACATGTTATCTCATATCCACTGTCTGCTGAATGTACATTTGAAAAAGCTCAGCTCTCCATCCCAATTAGTCACAATAATTACAGTTTCAAATGCCTTCTTTCCACCTCACTCACTCATTTCCATGTACTCAGGGGTGAGTCCAGCAAAGGGTTCCAGGTTATAGTCCACTTCATAGCGCTGCTTTTTCTTCATGTGCTCTTCATGATCTAGAGAACGCCGACGCTTCAATTTCAAGTATCGTATAAACTTCTTCATTTTTCTGAGAGAAATTGAGACAATTTGCTGAGCGCTGCATTCTGCTCACTCAGTGCTCATTTCTCAGTTGTTTTACATTACCAGGCACAATAATTAAAATAAGAAATCACAGAAGCTGCTACTTACGGGATGCCAATCTCAAACAAATTGTTCTGGATCAGCTGCTTGCCCAACATGATAATACTGAGCTGGATACACAATTCCATTAGGCATCCTCCTGGGGCACACTGGGGTGGACAGAGGAGAGGTCAGTCAGAATATCTCCTCTACCCCATCCATTCAACATAATCCCAGACAGGATAGAAATTCAGTTACCTCTTCCATTCGGAAGGAATGGAAAATGTAGACGTAGTCGCCTGGACGTCCAACAAATCTAGGGCACAATGAGTTAAAAACATCAGACAGATTTTATACTTTCAATATTTGATTCCTAAGGTAATTTATGTCATACTCCATGCCTCTGAGTGGGACCACTTAATATACAGTCCTGAAAAGGCCTCCAAGAAGCTGAAACCCTGAACAGCCCTTCCATCACTCACCGGCCTTTGAAAAAAGCCACGTAGAAAATGGGGGTGTAGGCATTGACAAATTTCAGCAGGAAAGCCTTGAAAATCAGCCGCTCCTCAAAGTTCTTGTCGGTCTTTGGTACCTCTGGAACCAATGGGACATGGATTAGAAACATTAAGGAATTATCCTACCTAGAAACATTTCAAGATATTATAAAAGTGTGTTTTGGAGAACATCATCAGCCACCTTTTTAACAAAGGGATTTATATGTATATGATATGTATTGATATATATAAAGCAGTATGGCTGCACTGAGGTCAGTGGTCAGTCTGCTGAGGATCCCACGAGTCAGACACACTACAATGGCAATTCCAATTTAGTTCTACACTTATCTGACCACCATGACAATCATTTGTAGGTGTGCAAAAACTTGATCTGAAAAGATTTCTGGACCTTTTATTACTGAAAATTTCTCAGAAATAATAATAATAATAATAATAGAAAAAAAGTTCCACAGTGGAATTTTAGGCACAAATGTGACTGTCCTTGGCTCTGCTCATGAGCCCAGTGATCTGGGTGCTCTGATTTAACCCCTTGTGGCAAGCTGAGGGTTCCAACGCACCAATCTGCGTGAGCCATCTGGCGATGCAGCCATACACCTCGTCCAGGATGATGATGACCACCAGGTTGATGATGACGGCGGTGGCGGTGACGGTGACGCGGATGCTGGAGCGTCCCGAGGGCGTGGAGCTGATGGCCAGGGCAGCGGCCGTGGAGATCCTGTAGATGATCACCCCGAACACAATGGCAAACGTCAGCCCAACCTGCAAGGAAGAACCGCCCAAAACCTTACCAAAGGTTTGCCTTCAAACACTTTGTTTGGGGTTTAGAAATAACCTTAAAAATGGGACCTCTGGGCCACACCCCAAGTCCACCCAATACTGCATTAAGGCCTTGATGAACTGTGGAAAAGAAGCCCCCTTTTTCACTTGAAAATCACAGGAAAAAGAATGGCACCATGATGCCACAATTGCAGACAAAAGGCTATTTTTTTTAAAGGCACCTAAATGTAAACTCCATGCTTAGCAGCATTAAAATATGCTACATATTACTAATAAATAAATTCTAAAATACTAAATATTACTAATTAATATAGATAATAATTGTAATTAATATAAATACTAATATGAAAAGTATTAGTGGGCTCACTTTCAGCCCTGACACCAGCAGCATATACACATGGTGTTTCCTCTGTGATAAACAAAAAAACCCCAAATTTGAAACAAATAGGCATATTTCAGCTTCACTCTACACACCAGCCTTCAAATCCCATAGACAGGCTCACTGTGCTCTCATAATCACAAACTGAAATTAAATCTGATTAAATCAACACACTTCCTGGCACAATAAAATTTCTCTCAGTTTTTCATTGCTTAAATAGAGGAATGATTTTAAAACATGAATCTCAAAAGGTACCGATTCTTCAGCTGAGCATATGAGATTTATTGCATTTCTGTCATCTGAAGATACAAATATTTAAAAAACTCAATCCTGAACCAAAATCCCTACCCCAAAAAACCAAATTAATTGACTTAGTCTGGGAAATTTTACCTTTGGAAAGGGTTTAAGCTTTTTTCAATATATCTGCCAATCTGTTCCATGACTTGATTTATTCTGTCAACATTTGTATTAAATGCTGATGGTTTATCAACAAATGGAAGAAGGCTGTTCTCATCATTATTTTACCTTTCCCTTGAATTAAGTGCTATGTTTGCAATTCTCCTGTTAGATGGTATAGCTCCAAATTTGAATGATTTATTAAAAATCGCTGCTATTATGATTGCAACTGGCAACATCAGTTATTTCCTAAATTTTGATTATAAAAATGATGTTGGTCTCTACTTCCTGACCACTTTCTGAGAGGCTCTCTGTACTTTTTTAGCTTCATCCCATCAGTGGTATGGGAATTTCTATTTCTGTGCCCTCACTTTCCCCTCCTCTAGTTTAGTATTCTTTTGTCTTTATTGGAAAATGATAGCATAGTAGAAATTCAAGCTCTTGAAAAGATTTCAGATCATCAACCAATAAAATGCTTGAATTTTTTCACTGGAAAAAGGCCAACTATATCTAAGTGATAAATTTTCCTATAATTTCTCTTCCATACAGTGATTCAGTAACAAAAATTTCAGGTTTTGCCAGGTGACACTTACCATGAAGATGATGCCAACAAAATTGGTTAAATAGGCTGGAAAACGGTCCTTCCATGTCAGCTTCTCTTTATCCGTCTAAATTTTTTTTTGGTGGGGAAAAAAAAGGGTATATTTAATAAATAAGGAGAGTGTGATTCTGCAAATGCTGGCAAAACCACAACCAGTTAGAAGATGCAGACACAGTGTTTACAGTCACAATTCCACACAGGCAAATTGTTTACTCCCTATCCAGGTTCAGACTGGTCAAGCGCCTGCACTGGGAGTATAAATAAACAAGATTTTTCTGTGTAATTTTTGAAGAAAACATGCAAATAGGCTGTCATAAACCATGAAGTAAGATCTCTCTTGCTGTTAGATATTTTCTTTTGCTTTCCCTACAAAAATCCCCCTCCTTCTTCTCCTCTTCCACAGTTAATATTTGCAGCTCTGCTGTTGCACTACTGCCTCCACTGAAATACAGATTTAAATATTAAATTAATTCATGCTATGAAGTAGCTCCAAGGTGAACATTCAGTTGACAGGGAAAATTAAGTTTTGGTGTGTGGCAAGACTTAAAATTCCTTTGATATGAGTGAGTTTTAATTTTACCTGGCTATTCCTATAGTATTCAATGGACTACAGTAATAGGAATTATAGAAGGGGGGCTGGAATGAGGGGATCTTTAAGGTCCCTTCCAACCCAAACCATTTTGTTATTTTCTATATAACAACTCTGTATATTCTCTGAATTCCCTAAACCAAGTCAATCAGCCACTGCCTGAATTTTGGCTACAAAATATTCATTTAGAAGAGCATTGGTCCTCTGGAGTCCTTCACAAACTTGGATGCCCGGAATTGTTTTGAAACACCAGAAAATCAACAGCAAAAGAAACATCTCAGACGATGACACACTCGTTGTAATGCACATAAAAATATTGCTCAAATTCTATTTTTATGACATGCACGTTGTCTCAGGGAAGTGCAAGCGGCTCTTTCAACACATGGCCCATGCTCCTCTGCAAAACATAACATCCAGGATGGGAAATCTAAGATTAGCCAAGCAGTGCCATTCCCAACTCATAGAGCAGCGTCCCAAAAAGTGCTGAAGGAATGAGGCGAGGAACGGGAAGAAACCCAGAACTGAATGTGAATACTAAACAAAGGTTCAACAGCCAAAACCAAATTGATTTGTGTCTTCCATAATTACTCATAATTTGAGTTTCTTCATAAGTTTGTATTAAAAGAACCAATTTCACCCCAGCCATGACTTTCTTAACTCTTTGTCTCCATTTGTTTGCTGTCTCTTCTGGAAAATATCGGTGCTTCTGATCGGCAGTCAAAGGAAACAGAAAAGGGTTGGGAAGTGTGGCATTACAAAGCACTGCTCAATTAATTCCAATAATCAATTCCATATTTTCTACTGACACAGCACTTTAGCACAAGTGAATGCTCTGTTAGCTTGGTTAAGGCTTTGTGTTTCAGCTTTAAGTTAATAAAATATAACAGCAACAAAAGAGAAATGCTTGCCCCAAATCCTAGGGAACATCAGGCAATCCTGCAAATGATATTCCCTTTTTAATATAGGATTGTGCTCCGCTTTCAATTTTATGAGGTGTAAAGAATGTGCAATTTTTTTTCCTTTAATTTTTCTTTTTAATTAGACTTCTCTTGAAAAAGCTATAAGCAATTTTGGTTTAGCTCTAGATAATTTTTTTTAGGAAGGTTTCCAAGTGTTACAACTGTCAAATTTGAACTTTAACACACTAGATCCCAATGAAAGATAACCACCAAGTCTTTCAGAAAAAAACTCTTTTTCTCATGTTTCCCAAATTAGTAACATCCAAATTGAACACAGCCCAAAAACTTATAAATAGTCTGGTTAAAAAAAAAATAATCCTTTCTTAATTGCTCAACTTTCATTCTCCAATATTAGAGGGACGCCATTCATTAATTGTTTGATTAGTATTCCACATTTGATACCTGAATTCTGATTATACTCAAAAGTAGAGCAAGTTACAGGTTGTTAGTGGAATACAGTAAAGTCTGTATCCAAAATCATTTACCCAGCCTATCATAGTGCAGCAACCCAATATTTTTCTCTTCTGCAAGGGATTTAAAAAGGTATTTGATTTGCTTATGGCCCTGAACCACTTACACACAGCATCCTATAGGTTAATGGGTCCACACCACCAGCAGCTCTGTAGCATCTGTTAAGAGGGGTCCAGTGGTACTTAGGTATAAATTTACTTTACCACTCATCTATATGTGCTGTCCCTAAAGAGTGTAAATGTTATTGCAGTTTTATTTTCACAGGATTGTCATAAAATCCCAATTTAGGGTGGTGTCACTGGCAACAGACACAAGAGAGGAAATTCTGCCAAATTTTACATTGGAATTTTTACTTTTTCTCAATAAAATTACGGCACACAAATGGCTCACTTCTTGCAGTGAAGGGGAAATAACCTCAGGTAGGATGGGGGCATCAGTGTGCAGGGGAGAAAAGGAGCTTTCCCAAATCGTTCTGCTGCTGACAGGAAAGGAATTACAGCTCCAGTGAAAGGGCAGGGAAGCTGCTTGTAGGGATTGCACCATCCCTTGGCAAGAGGCAGGTGCTCCTGGGGTGACAGGCAGCACCTTTCTCACAGTGATGTAAACAGCAAGTTCAGAGCATAAGTGAGCACTGCCTTGTTCAGTGGGATAAAAGGGGAAGCTGTGTTTTTAAAAGGCAGAAAGTTATCGCCAAAGCTGGAATTTGGCCTGAAAATTTGAGTTAGTGCTCTTCATTAATATTTTTATTTGCAGAGAAAGTCCAGCAAGACAGAACTTCTCCTGAGAGGCTTTAGGTACTTTTACTTCACAGAACTAGATGGTATGTTACAGTTTTCTCAAACTTGATTTATTAGTGCTAGAGGAGCACCTCTTTGATGAGGCTCTGTTAGTTTCCTTGAGTCACACTCTTGAATCTAATTAGTAAAGTAATTTCTAGATTTAATCAGATCTTGTGCCTGGCAGACACTAGCATCTCATGTGTAGATGAAGACACCTGGAACTTAAACACAGTGACCATTGACTACTTTTTACCTATTTATTAGTCTTGGGTTACTGCCTGCTATAACAACCTTCTTCTTCATAAGTGAAACAAATGAATATTTTTACCATACCTCTTTATGTTTGTGTTCTTTTCTCAAAGATTTTTCTAAAACTTTTGCTTCATATTCTGCTCTTGGATGATCCTGTGAAAGAAGTCATATTTAATAAAAAAGCAACATTACTTATTTTCTCTGTCATCTACAGATGAACTCTCTGCAGGTCTATTTCCTGATAATTTCTGAGTTTTCTAACTGAATTCCAATTCACTTGGTATGTCATTCATGTCAATTGATAGTTGACTATGATTTAAAAAAAAATGTTAAGTCCTGTGTCTACAGGAGCAGCTGCAGAACAATTTGGACGGCAATGTGCAGTGCTCTGTAGATTACATTTAATATATAAGCTATGCAGCATAACCTGCAGACAGCATGGCTCATGATGCTTGGATTGTAGTTACCTCTATTTTTGAAAAAAGTTAAATGCCATTAACTAATTTCAGTGATCCTCAGCTCATGAGAGGATTAATTTTCTGTTGTAAGCATGCAAAATACTTGTCTTTGGGATCCCATAAAATTGGGGTGTTCCCCTAATTCTGTCCTGGACAGCATCCACAGATTCTCTGTCTGCATTGCAGGAGAAGGTGCAGGAAACACTTGGAAGTAAGAGACAGCCAAAAGACTGAGGAAGATTCATGGGTTCAGAATTCCCAATAAGTATACATTCATAAAAGAATCAGAATTCAAAATTATGCATTGGATGGGAAACAGAACGGAGCTGAAAAAAGTCTGAACAAGTGGAGAGGGGACGGGTGTAAAGGCAAAGCAATCAGTGGGAGTTCCAAAGAAAATCTGATGCTCAAAAAAGGAGAAATGGAGATCAAAAGATGATAGTCAGCAGTAGACATGGAAGAAAAAAGGTAGGAGCGATTTAAAAAAAAAAAAAAATGTTTTCCAAACCTTGACTGCCTCCTTCAGGAAACCAGAAAAAAACCATGAAAAACAAGAAAAAAACAAAAAACAAATAAACAAAAATTTGATTATTGAACTGTTCCAGGTCATATTGTATTTATATATTAAAAGTTACATGAAACAAGCACAGGAACAGTGGCTGGTTAGACGCTACCGGAGAAAACCCAGTCTATTCATGTTCTATATTAATCAACATTACTGCAAGTATTGTGTGACCCTAGCATCCATAAAAGCTTTAGCATTTCACTCAAAACCCCGACTGTTCAATATGACTCTACCTTGAGTTTTCCCCAAATCAGCAACAGGAGAACCTTAAATCCTGTGAAAAACCCATGACTGTATTATTTATCACTGACCACCAAAAACACAGAATAAAATATCCGTAATTGACAGCTGCTGGTTTGGCTGTGCAGAGCCCTGAACTAGACATGAAACTGCCATTGGAAAGATACACTTAATCCTCTTCACTTTCATAGATGCTAACAAGTTACCAAAAATAAAGGAGCATATAGTGTCCAGGAAATAAATCCCTATATTCTCTCCCAGTAAATAGGTATGGACCAGTGCAGAGGCTGCTGGCACAGGGCACCAAAACATATAAAGGAGGAGATAAAGAAATTAAGGGGAGATAATTCCTACAGAAAGGCTCTGGGGAGAGGGGAGCGATGGCTGCCAGGCTCAGTGAGCTGCAGGGTGTCAAAGCCAGGGAGGGCTGCTGAGGTCTGCGTTTCACGTGAGCAGTATTTGTTGTGTATCTATTTAGGACATCTAGAGATGTGACAAGGGAGGTCATATTTCTTTTAATAACAGCAGCAGGGCAAGGCTGGGGGCTGGGAGCGTGCTGTGCTCTGGGAAGGTGTCTCCTGTATTTTCTGTAGAGTGGCAAAATTGAAACCAAAAAGGTGGGAAACAGTTTCTCAGCTGACTGAGGATTTTCTCTCCTTTCTAAAACTTCATTGATTTTGAAGATTTTTTTTTCATACAGATTTGGCCCTTTTCTCCTTTATGCTCTTCAGCAGATTTAGAATAAACCTGGGCAGAGGTTTATTTACTTTTTTTAGCCACTGCAAAAAACTCCACCACCTCCATACCATATCCCTCCCCATGCCTCAAGCCCTGAGGTTTTTCCAAGTCAGGGCTTGATCCTGCATCATTAAAGTTAATGGGAATTTTTCAGTGCTCTTTTTACAGCACTGTAACTTTATCAGCTTCAATGCATTCATTTCTGATTTACAGCAGTATGTGATGAATGAGGTCCTTGGCTCTTGGCACCCTGACTTCAGCCCAGCAGAAAGTCTGAGCTGTATATTCCATGTCTACATTGCTAGGTGTGACTCCACACTTCAAAAAGAAAAAAAAAAAAATCACATTTTGTGGCTGTACAATTATGTTCCCATGGCAACAGGACTAGACTAGTCATGCCTTTGCTACAAAAACCTCAAACGGTTCATGTACAGGGATTTTCCTTCCTCCTATAGGATGGAACCCTCCCAGGAACATGAGGCAAAGTCTGTCAGGTCAGGGCAACAGCAGGGTGGAAGGCAAAGAGTCAGAACTGAAGGGACAAACCTCCTCCTCTTCAAACCCAGTCAGGTCCCACCTGTAGTTGAGGCGCATCTGTTTTCTCTTCCAGTGCTCCATAAAGGTGGCAGCTGAAACAACAATTTAACATGTAACACACATCACCACATAACTTCATTTCTGTTTCCTTTTGTTCAACAGTCAGGTCTGGGTGGGAAATACTGATGTGCCGGGAGCCAAATGTTTTATCCAGGTGAGCTGAAAAGAGAGCATTTTTTACATCCACAGCTTCATGTAGGAAGATACCTGCAATTTTCAAGGTGTCTAAAAAAGCCAGGAAGCCAAACTTATTTAAATATTTGTATGTATGATTAATAATGTGTATAGTTTCATCTGTGAATCCAAAAAACCTGAATCTTATCTGTACAAAATAGGAATGATTTCACTTGTATGGATGGCAGAGTTATTCCCTCAAAGATATCAATATAAAGCATTTTTATATCATTATAATTACATCCATCTAGTGGTCACAATAGAGTGATTTACTCTAATCATCACACTCAAACCCAATCACTCTGTGAAAGTGTGAAAGGGGAGGCCTTTAAGAGTTTTAATCATTATAAAACCAGCCATTTTCTCTTTGATGGAGAAGGTTCAGAGGAAAAAACCCCGTTAAAGCAAATCTTGAGTCCCCGTGAATGATCCCAGTCTATATCAGTCTATCTGCCCCTGAGACCGAGCAAGTTCTCAGAGGACATATTTAGATGCTGGGAATACACCAGTGTTGTATAATAAATAAGTGATTATGAAAGAGGCAAGTCTACCAAGAAATGATGTTCCCAGGGGAGCTTCCTACAGTGAGTATTAACAGATGTGCTCAGAAACGTTTGTATCCAGAAAAAACAGAGGCAGGGAGAGGGTAACAAAGTTGAACAGAGAGAAGAGGACACCCTCTTGACTGGAGCCAGGCTGGGGCCATGACATCCATTTGCCTTCCAAGTGAAACTTTTGTGTGGAAAAGCTACAGCTGAGCCCCTTCACAAGCCACAGGCTTCCTGTCCATCAGGGTGGTCAGAGCTGTGTCTTGAGAGGGTCCATGTCTCAGGGACCTGGAAATGCCTCTTCTCTCCTCACAGTTCTCACTGCAGCTGGGGGCTGCAGCTTCCATTTACAGCCAGAGATATGGAACACGAACAAGACGCTGCTGGAAATCCTCCCGTGGCACTGGCTTACAGCAGGGCAAAAGAAGAGGACAGTGTCTGGAATCCTGGTTTGTTTTGGGAGCCCTGGGGGAAGGTGCCAGGCAGCTGCATCCCTGCTCTGCCACGAGCATCTGCACTTCCCTATTTCAACTGTAGGTGAATTTAACAACACAAATTCAAAACTATGTGAAGAAAGTTCTTAGTTTTCCAGTTGAAAGAGACCTTTTTGAAACAATTTTTGGTTTATATGGGGTTGTACCACAATAAAACTTTGCACTGACTCCATGAAGCTTGAGAAGTTTGACATTCTACTTCAAAACCCTCTCAGATTTTGTGCAGAGCCCAGAACCTGGCTTCTGCCAATCTGCCTTACTTTGCACAAGAGTGTAAAAAATGGATGAAGAGTTGCTTGCTGTGGAAAGAGAGGCAGACTTTTTCTTTTTGGACAAGAGGATAACATGCCAAGATCCATGTGGGGCTCCCAGTAATGGTAAATGAGGGATACCAAAGCTGACACTTGACTTTCCTTGTGATACTTGATAATAACCTCTTAGTGCTGCATCTAAAACAATGTTATCCCAAACACAGATCCTGGCTGTGTTAATAATTAAAATGAAATTATCCTGAATTGTACTTAAATCAGTTCGGATGAATGATAATGTACAAACAGTTCCCTATGTACTGGAAGAGATAAAACTCAGGGTGTATTATTAGGATGAAATATAATCCAGAACAGGTTGTGTCAATTCACAAAGAGGTGTACACGAGGGCTTGTGCTGCTCTTGCTGCTGCTGGGAATATGTGGCCATCAAAGCTCCTCTTCCCCAAAGCCCATTCCTGAAGAAAAGAGGTTCCCTATCCCTCCCCCAGCAGGGAGGGGAGAAGTCCTCCATAATCCTTCCTGAGCACATCCTCACAAAGACGTCATGAGAGCGTTCATAGTTAGACCCAAGTGCCAGACACATGCCCAGAAAGGGCTCAAAGCATGAGGGCAGCATCAGGATCAGGAAAAATCCCTCTCCATCACCGGTCCCTCTTCCCAGCCTCCTTGCATGATATCTGCCTGCTGATAAAGCTAATTGCATCTCAGAGCACACTCAGGAATCAATGTTGGTTTGTCCTGAAGATGCTAAAGGCCATTACACTTCCCCCCAGAGCCCTCCCCTCAACCCTAGAGTACATTAATACATTTCTTCTGTAATGTTCTAAAGTGGAAGCTGGCTCTGCAAAGTGATTTTTTTTTTTTTGGCAAGCTGTGCAATCCTGTTAATGAAATTTTGACATACCACGCAGCAGTTTTATGACAGATACTTAACAATTTCGTTTGCTATTCAGCTTCAGCAACTTTTTGAATTTTAGCCTCCAGTCCAGAATATAAATTTGAGTGTGATAGTTTCATGGGAAAAAAAAAAAAAAAAAAAAAGATAATTTTTTTTCTTTCATTTACTGCCTGTGTATAAATATCCTGCTTTATCTCCTCTGTTTCTTCCTGTTGTATTTTCAATAATTAAAAGCTTAACATCAAGGCATAGATCTTCTTACCCCAGAGAGCCATGAAGACTGAGAAGAAGACAGTTGCAGGGTTATCAAACAGATGACTGGCACGGGCAGTGGCACAAGCAGAGCTCATCTTCCAGTAACTGCACGTTTTGTCACACAAAGGACACATGGTGATGTTGTTTCTCTGGTCACACATCTCCATACTGCAACAAAGCCACAAGAGAAGAGAAAATCATGGTCAGGATGGCTCTAGCTTTGTGCTTTAGTGATCTTTTCTCCTCTGGACAGCAGCTGCTTCTGTAGGGTCACTGGATAGGATCCTACAGCACTGCAGGGGCTGAAATCCTCATGGTAAGGCTGTCTTCCCTCCCTCCTTCCTGCCCCAGCTCAATTTTCATTCCAGGGAATAAGAGGGAACATTAGGAAAGCCATAAGGCTCTATGCTTTCTCCTCTAAGGTCTTACAGAATAAAATAAATAAAAACAAAGTAAAACACTCTTGTTTTGAAATACAAAGCACAGTGATAGATAAGGTACAAGGGAAGTGCTGAGCATCAAGAGATTGGAGTTCAACCAGTTTATCTCCTCTGTGCTCCATCTGTGAAATAGCAACAGTGACCCTCCCTTTGGCTTTTTTCAACTGTTGGAAGCACTACAAAGCGATCTTAATGAAAAAAAAAATTAAATCTATTTTTTAGTACCCATTATCTGCTTTGTTATTCAGGGCTGGTGCTTATTGTACAAGCCATGTAATTTAAATCTCCAGCTGATGATGCATGTAGGGTGAATAATGCAAAATCAGAGGGCTTTAAAAATGTTTTAATACAAAACTTGCTGAAAGATTAAAAGTAGGAGGACATACAGATTTTGTTGATGTGATCACAGTAGATTATTTGAGGGATGTATATTCTTGATGTATCGCTCTGTCACACAATGCCCTCCTCAGCACTCTGTGCTGGGAAGCATCAAACCTCCTCATTAGCAGAATTTTACTGGTTTGTTTTAACATAATGATCTGAGTTTGGGAAAAAGCCCAACCACCTGAGCAACCAGCCAAGAATTATTTTTAGGACATAAATGCAAACTGCCCAAGTAATAGTAACAATGAATGCTAATGAGATAGAAATGGGCTGCTCTGTGCCCTTGGGAGAACTCCATGCCTTACTTGAAGCTGAGATCAGGGGGCCTGTGGAGTTGGATTAATTTTAAGCACAGCTTCCAAAAGATGAAATGTGAGAATGGCGAGTTTTAGGAGCATATCATCATGCTGCAACAGCCAGTTGGGCACAGATGGGAATGGGGACTGGGTGTAGGGATGTGGGTAGTACAGGACAAGACCCAGGAACAAGAAACCCCAATTTGAGCTGCACTTGGCCTAGATATTACTGACAAAACATGTCTAAAGTGAGGCAATTTTGAGCTAAAAGTGCCCTCCAACAGCAGAATCTATTTATTCATCCATTTTACCTGGGTATATTCTCATCCACAGTTGCGCAGCCATAGAGGAAAACAATAATTCCTACAATCGAAGCTGGTATGAGCATTTGTGTATAAACTCCCAGCCAGGCAAAATATAGCCCAATCTTCTCTCCAAAGTATTTTCTGAAATACATTTAGAAAAAAAAGGGAAAGAAATGAGAGATGTTTCCTATTTCTTAAAATATAATGCGGCTAAAATTATGAATCACATCTGGATTAGGCATGGAGAAAGTAAGATCTGATGACCTGTGGGAATTTTTTTCTTCTCAGAGGACTCTCTTTCTCATGATGCTTGGAGTCCATCCAGAGACACAGGCACCCTGAAAACAAGTTTCTCCCACTGGTCATTTTTCCCCCCCACTGTGTTTGCTGTGGAAATTGGTATCTTTGGACCTTCTGTGAGTGAATCATCTTAAAAAGGCACCTTGTTTTCTTCAGAGAATCTTATCATGAGCAAACAAAATTAATTAAAAATATATCCCCCACAAGCTTTCACTCTATGTGGGATATATGAGCACATTCTAAACTCACAGAAAACTCCTTTTCTCCCAGTGAATTTCCCATTCTTTGGAATCCCCCAGGGTGAGGGGGCACCGAGGGCAGCACCGCCCCAGGGGCACAGGGCACGAGCATCCCTGCACAGCTTCATCTTTGCCCTTGGAAACTCCACGCCCAGGGCTGAACTCTCACCTCACCAGGTCGATGGGCTGGTATTTATAAAACACTCCGTAGCTCGCCCACTCCTCACACAGGAGCTGGAAAACAGAAAGGCCAGAGAAAGATGAGAGCTAAAGCACCACTGGGTTCTCCTTCGGCCACTGCGGGGTCCACAGGCCTCACCACGCCGGAGTTTCAGCTCATGTCCTGCCAACACACGCAGCCCGAATTAAATATTAAATTAAATGTGATCGTTTGGCGTGCTCCAACAGAGAGATGAATTCCAGCACGTTGAAAGGCTCTTCAGCAGCTGGACTGATGGACACCTACAGCAGAGACAGGGATAGCAGTGCTGGGCTTGTGATCCAGCCACCCTCTGGGGTAAGAACCTTCTCCTGACATCCAGCCTCAATCTCCACTGACACAACCTCAGCCATTTCACTGTAATTCAGCATCTAGCAAGAGGTGCTGGGCTGAGGTGCCTCAAAAGCCTCATTTAATTTTTTTTTTTCAGTTTTTTTAAACCACAAGGAGCCAATGATTTCCATTCTTTCTTTTTGTCAGGATGTGGGCCAAAGAAAGCAATGAGCCCCGTTACTGATTTGCAAAACTGAATGCCTCACAAAAATAGGTTCTTTTGAGACCTTCAACTTATCCTTTATTTTGTAAAATATATAAATAGTGCTTCTCAAACTCACTTTCGTCCCTCATTCAATTCAGCCAACAGAGTGAACAAGAAATGTAAACTCAAATGGGGAACAAAGACTGAAACCATTATCAGTAGAGGGAGGGCAACAGGATTAATCTTGTTCCTAGACCAAACAGGATGTTATTCCCTAAACTCCAGGCTATTTTATCATGGGAAACTTGACAGATGTCAAACTCCTACATGTCTCCAGTGAAATGCAGCAAAAAGAAAAGGGCAGACCAGAGCCTGGCCATTGCCCATGCCCATTCCTCCTGCTCACACTTGATCACAGAGAAGTCCCAAAGCAACCCAAACCATGTTCCTACAGCAATTTTGAAACTCTCTTGCCAAATCATTAACAGAGAATTTCCAAGCTGGACTGCTGTACTTATACAAATGGTTTGACTCACTAAAAAAACCCAAAAAACCAACAAAGCTACTTCTCAGCTTTTACAGAAATATGACATCAAAAATGTAAATGTTTTCCCCTCTGCAAAATCATTAATCATTAATAATTTCCTTACAACAGTAAGAGCAGGAACTGAAACTTAACAGGAGGCCTTTGTTAAACAGCAACATTCTTGCAAATTTTATTTTTATTCTGCTTTAGGTTTCTTTCAACCACATTTTCCAAAGGTTTAAGGCCAACTGCCTATGTCTGGGAAGCAATGATTTGGGATACCTCAATATTCCCAGGCAGCACTAGCTAAGCCCCTTCCTTCTATATATATTCTTTTAAATTTAATCTTTAAAACTAAGTTTATGCTGGAAATTAGATTCCTTTTCTGTGATCCAAGCTGGTCAGACATATGAGGAAAACACTAAGCTGAGGAGATTTTGCATCAGTGCCATGTTTTAGTTTTGTGCAACTCAAAACCAGATTTGTGCCTAAAGTACAAATGAATTATCTAATTTATCCTGACATTTATCAGCCTGATATTCAAAGCACAGCTTCAAAGACATGATTAGAGGAGATCAGCACACTAGACGTAAATATTTACTTCATTTCTAGGCCTCAAATCTTTAATTTTCTTGTTAAAAAAGGCACAGGCCTGGCCTAGCGCTGGGTAAGATTAAAGAAAGCTTCAAGAAACCAGAAGAGACATGCCAAAACACACCAAAAGATTATTTGATGGAACTGAAAGTTAATAGCCAAGCTAAACACTTCCAAACACACAAGGAACTTGTGAAATTAGTGAATTTGTTAGGTTTGAGATGTTAGTAACACAGAAGATAATCTGGACACTTTCAGAAAACGTGGATTTTCATCCTATTTTTAGTAGAGAGATGTGTTGCTTAATAATGGAGAGACAGATGTGTGGTATTTTTAACACAAATCAATAGAGGGAGGGAAATAATATTCACTGCCTTTTGATGAGCCATTTGCACCTGAAGAAACAGCACACTGTCAATTTTTGGAACCTATTTTTATATATAAAGCCTGAAGGTCTTAAAATCTGCTTTTCCTATGAACTGAATGCTCAGAGCACTTCTTTGGAGGAAAAAAATACCAACAAAACATGAAACAAACAGGAAAGGCAAAGTTTCAGGACTGAAACCCCAGCATATATAACACTCAAATTTAGTAGATCCTCCTGAGAGAACTGGTTGTCACCTCTCCACTTCAGTTTTTGTCTGATGCATAGACAAACCCACCCTTCTTTGGGGAAGTGTGATGGGAAGGATGAAGTCACTAGCTTTGAATTTAAGAAATTGGCATTTCCAAAAAGGGTGGAAAATTTTATTTTGCTCATGCTTCCTTACTACTTCCTACTTCCTTAGGAAAAGTACTTCCTTAGGGTAATTCCTATGTGTTTTACCACAGTGAACAAATGTCTTTCACTATGCAGACAATAAAACCACAATTTAAAGCATTAACTTCAGCAAAAAGTGATGCAATGCCTTGGTGTACACCCACAGGACAGCTTCTGGCTGCAGAGCACACATTAAAACATTGTTGAGGACCTCTTATTCCTAAGAAATATTCAGTATCTACCTTTCCCAATAATTTTTATGCTTATGTGCATAAACTATGTCTGCCTCTCACTCCTCCAATTCTGATCCTTATGCCACAGAATGAAGTAGGATTTACACCCAATGCAGATAGCAGAATATAAATGAGCATTCTTTCACTAGACCTGGCCTGAAATGACATTATCTGAACTTATGTCAATATTCTTACCAATGTGGCATGAAATGTATCATTACCAAGGTGGGTACTTCATACATATCCACACTACATTCCATATTTGGGCAAATTTAAATGCTGCAAAGCACTTTTTTTCTTAAACTGCTTGGCATTTAGTGCCTTTTTGCAGCATTTTCTGCGGGATTTTGGCAAACACATCCAGATTCCAACAGGTGACTCTTCAGGCTGGGATTCTTGTGAATATGTTAGACCCTTCTGTGCATCAACTTACTTTTCTGTCATTGGGCTCCACGTTTTCACCTTCATAGTCACCCTTTAAAGAGAGAGAAAATCTGCGTCATCCAGTGGGTTGTGCCAAGAACTGCTCTGCATCCCGCATACCCACGTCTCCCACTCACTTAATGCATCAAAACCAGAAAAAGCAATCTGTAAAATAATGCTGTATTTTAGGAGCCCATTTGTCATGGCACACTTAGTCTTTTGTCGTCGGGCACATTAGGAAAGAGCAATAGTGTCTGTCATGGGGGGAAAAGGAATAAATAAGTGATAAAGGTGGCCTAAAAATGTCAAGGGAAAGGATGCGGTATTGCCATGGTATTTGGGGTTCAGCTCAGTCCACTGGAAAGAAAAGGAACCAGATGAGAGAGCTGCTCCCTCTTCAGACTCTCCAAACACTCAGAGCTGATTAGATTTGAGGTTTTAATTTGGAGCTATTTTTTGAGCAAACTAAGACAATAAATAACTTCTATGCAAGACTATCAGCAGCTGTCCAAAGATGTGAGGCAAGAACAGGAAGAGAAGTTTATTTAACCTTACTTTCTCTATTTCTACACAGCACTGCTGTAGTTTGAGAGCCCTGACATATGTGACAAACATCAGGTAGACAAAGAGGCTGCTCTGCTCTTGGGTGCTGCAAGATAAAGCTCTCACAGTCCCATGTAAAATCAGTGCAAGTGGGGGAAGCAGAAAACCAGGAAGACACACTTCACTCTCAAATCCCAGGCCAGAAAACCAGCACTGGGCTCCACAGCCCTTGGACCCTCACACTCAGCTCAGGAGTGAGCAGTGTGACAGCCAGTCCCTGTGACATCTGCCAAGCTTTTATACAGGCTAAGAGCATGTGTTTGCCAGTTCTAGTTGCACCCTGAACCTCTAAATCAGAAGGACACCAGCACCAAACTCTGTGCATCTCTGACAGGATGGGGGTCCCTGGCTTGTCTTGAGTGCCACTAGAATTCCTGAGCTCTCACTGATCCTCTTGATGAGCACCACAGCTGAACACACTCTTGACATCTCACTGAGCTGTTCAGAAGCAGATTTCATCAGCAGGAAGGCCTGCAGTCACATCCAGCCCCATGGAATATGTGACATCAGATCCTTGCTTGTGGCTTTTCCTGGTTGCACGGATGCACAGCTACTGACACCTCCCCAGGGAGATGTGGCCAAGGGAACCAGCTACTTGGCTCCCTGGGAATAAATGTGTTTCCTGGCACTGGTGCCACAGATCTTGGGGGCAGAAGGTCAGGAAACAACAGAAGAATTTAATTTGCTAAAACACTGTAACAACTCTTCTAATGTTACGTTCCAATTTATGATCATCGGATGTAGAACCGAGGTGGGGAATTCCTTAAAAGTGAGCAGAGGGATGGAAACAACATGCAGAAGTTACTGCAGTCATGACACAAGTGAGAAGAAAGTCAGTCATGTTTGGGATGATGCCACCAACATGTCACACATGAGGGATTTCTTGGTGACAGGCAGCAGATGTGTAAAATATATTGTGAGATCACTTACGTCATGCAGAGGATATGCAGCACTGTAAACTCCATTGGCAAGCAGGCTGGTGATCCCTTGAAAAATAAAGCCATAACAGTTATTTATAAGTTCAAGGTTAGACAGCCTCACTTTATCATCCTTCCAGGAGATTTCCCTCAAAGTAACAGCCATTTGATCAGGTAATGATTTTGCTGCCATCTTATTCCTTTCATTTTAATCATATAAGTTATTATACATGACTCATTTTATGAAATGGAAAACTGCAGAGAGCAAGAGGAAGTCATATATATTTGAGAATCAAGAATTAGAAGCCAATGACTTGGAATTAGTCATTAAAATAAATTACATTTTCTGAAAAGTCAGTTTGATTTAAGGGCAAGCCTGAAGATTTGAAAGTATAGCAGAAGGCTGGATCACAAGGAGAATATGGCTGGAATTGGTGGCACAGGGAAACCCACATCCACACGCATCATTCACTCAAAGTTTTGAATTCAGGTTTCAGATGGATCAGAGAAATTTTAGGGAAAGCCTTTGTGAAGACCTTGGCATAATACTTACCATATTTACCACATTTTCGTCTTTTATTTAAAAGGGCAGTTTCCTTCTTTCTTCCCTCTCCTTTTCCTGTTTACACAGCCATTTATTAGTGACATGCATGAGGCTGAAAGCAATTAGTGCTTCATCTATTAAATGTCTCTGGCACAAGGGACTGGGAGGAGTCCTGCCTTTCCCTGGGGTGGTGTCTCTCCTTAACTAGGGGCCAGAGGGAGAAGTTGGTGTGGAAGTTTGGAGGAGCACTGCACCATCCCCAGGATGGCTGGACCTGGGCCTTTGGAGGGCTGTAGCTCATTAATTCCCTAATGCTCTTTCCTCCTGCTGCTGCTGGCTTTAATAGAGCTACTTCCAATTCTGTTCGCCACGTCTGCAGGTGTCATGTTGCCCATGAACATACATTTGGGGATGGAATGAATCAGTTTTGGGTGCTGAGTCAGAACTAAGTCAAGCACTTGTCTTTGTGCAGGGCAATGGTGATTTGATTAGTGCCAGCTGAAAAAAAATATTATAAATCTTGCCACTGGCATTGGGGAGGATTTTCAAAGACTTAAAAAAGGAAACAAAATGAGGTATTTCGGTGTGCTCCATGCTTCCTATCAGCTCATGGCTAAGAAAAGAGTGCGGGACTGGGTGTGAAGGAACAGTTACTATGAACCAGGAACCAGCTCACTGTAAAGTCATTTTTGATTGCTCTTGAAATGAGGATTGTTCAAGTTCATTAACATTTTTGAGATACTAATCACCTGCTGGAGGAGCAGCTCCAGGAGCGCTCAGTATCTTGCGGTATCATTAATTTTCAAAGCCCTATTTAAGATTATACAGGTCTATGAATTGTCTGCAAATGTTTCCACACTCCTGGCAGAAACAACTGGTGAGCAGATAAATTATTTTTCTAGGGCTGTGAGAAGAGCGACACAGTACCCTTCTACTACAGATCTGGACTTGACAGTGAAGCCAGACTCACATTTTCACAAAATTTTCCAAATAAATAACAAAGGCTGCAGTGTTCCCCTGGGCAGCTGCTTTTTTCCTCCTGGGCAGCAGTGCTGCAGCATTATCTGTGTTTGTTTAAATCTGTTTGCCACCTCTGCTAGGTTGTAACCCAACATTCCAGCACTGGAACACAAAGGAGCTGATTGAGTTATGATGGGTTGGCCTGATGGCACTTTTATCAGCAATATTGTGTGGCCTTGCCAGTCTCAGGTAGAAGATCCATACAGGAGTCCTAACACTCTACCGTACATGAGTGTCTTCCCTATTCAACTAATCACTACTGTGCTTCCCACTTTCTGGACCAAAAAAAGAAAAAAAAGAAAAATCAATTGAGAAACCAACTGCAAGGCAAGAATTCAAACTGAGCTGTTTGACCTTCACCTTTCAAGAGCCCAAAGATGTAATTTCCAGTGAAAATGATCCAGCACCAGACTCGAAAAGGGTCTCAAAAGTCACAGAATAATTTGAATTTCCCATGCTACAGAGAACAGCACTTCTGTTAATACTGGCTGGACACCAATTTTTAGTGTATATTAGGAGTCAACAATAGTGCATTATATGTTGTAACTTCAACACAAAAGTCAAAGCATGGAAATAATTTGTGGCGTAATTGTTCTTCTATTATTTGATGTCTTTCTGAGCAGCTGATGGGTCAATATTGAACAGAACTACCTGTAATTCAAGTTCCTATTGTTTTATTGAACTTCTTGTAGGCTAATATGTGCTGTAACCGATTTCAACATTTACCAAACATTTTCTTCCATGTTTATGCACTTTTCTCACGTTTGGAAATTCACCCTTCCACCTTATTTGTTTGGATTTACCATTAACTATTTGTTAACTTTGGTCCCACAGTCAAGTGTGTATCTGTGTATCATGTATAAAATAAAGTATGTAACAGCTGAGCAGGATCAGCTGCCAACAAATCTTTAAGGTGATCTGATTTGCAATTCATCTTTATTATGAGTTCATTTCTTACAGCAGAAACCCTAGGGCTGAAATCTTGAAACTCTTGGTTGTGGTAGTACACACTTCACATCCCCTGACTTGCAGCACCTGCTCTGAGGGCTGAGGTGCCCAGTTCCAGTGCAAGCCTTGGCCCCAGGCTGCTCATCTCATTTCCACTCAGGACAGTCACCAGTCAAGACCATTCCCTTCAAGTCACTGGAAAACCATCACACTAGAAAATGTGGGGCTCCTGCTTGAACAAAATGGGCCAAGTCACAGACTTTGACTGCAGGTATTGGATTTCACAGAAATACCCTCAATCCATTTCAGGGAGCGTAGAACATCTCACCTGCTGGTTTATGTCACCATCCATCCTAAGTCACATCTGCAGGGGCTACATGCTTACTTACCATTTAATTTAGAGTTTAATCTATAAATTCACATTTGAGAAAATGTCAAACAGCTGCATAAATTGAATCAGATTTCCAAATAAAACAATTACATCCACATACATCAAATTAGAGAGCAGGGGGAAAACCTAAACTCCACTGCCATTTGCAACATAAAATTATTTTCAATACCTGAAAAAGATATTGATCTTAAAGCTAAATAAAGTTCCTTACCCATGCTATATTTTGCTTTGGTACACGTTGTTCTTTTCAATATTTCATAAACCTACAGAAGCAAAAGAAAAGACAGGGTTACTTCAGACACCACCAGTGAAAAGCACAATCTTTTTGTGTACAGCTCAAATATTGGCCAAACCATGATGTGGATGAAGTTGTCACTCTTTAATAAAAGTCACGGTGCTCAAGAGAGCAGGGCTCAGAGCTCTGTGTGCTGTGCTTTCTGTACAGGAGAGAAAAGCTTAGCTAAATAGTCAGCTACCAGGAGAACTGGTGGGGGCAAACAGGGTTACATCTACCCCCTGGCATAACAGAAATCCAGTTTTTGCCCATGTTAGCCATCGATCAGAGCTCAGGGGTGTTCTTCCACCTGGAGCAGCTCTTCCCTGGCCTCCAAGGGCACAGGCCAGGCTGGCTCCATCCCAAGGAGCTGTGCAGAGCTCCGGGCTCACGGAGCATACAGAGCATGCAGCCTGGACTAACACAGGCTGACCTTAACATCTCTGAGCCTGCCTGACCTCGGCGGCAAAACAGATGTATTTATTTTGGATTTATTGCATTTATTGTCGAGTAACCTTTGCACAGCTCAGCAGGCTGCCCACAAGGTTCAGCTTTTGGCTGCTCCTGTGCAGCAATGCTCTCTGGCAGGGCAAGCAGGCAGCACAGGGACACCTGGAGCAAAGGCACCTTCTGCCCACTGCCTGGCCCATCGAGGGAGCTGGGGACTGTTTCCCAGCTCCCTAATCCATGTGCTAATTTGACTCTTGCCTAATTCACTGGAGGAAGCAAGTGAGGGCATCCGGGGCAAGTCCCACAGCTCATACAAGTCTGTCATCTTGTAACCCCTGTGAATTAAAGGGCTGTCAGAGAGATTTCCAGTTATATAATATATTTTTTTATTTTCTTTTTTAATAACTAAAAGGTCTTTGGCTTAGTTTCTATTCATCAAAGACTCATGGGTAGTGACTAGATTCCTGTTCATTTCACAGCAGGTGGAAGGGTCAATATTTGCACTGTGGTTCAAAAATACATTTGAGAAAGGCAGGGGAGAACTTTAAGAAAGAAGAATACAAACAGCAATGCATACAGAATAAAATGATGTTGGGAAACATTCAATATGTTCTTCATTACTGGGTGATTTGCAGGGATTTCACACAAAGCAGCACAGCATCAGCATTATTCTTATATGCCCAGTGTTCCTTCAGTCCTTTAAAAAAACCCTTGTCCTTCATTTACCTCTCAGCCTCTGCTCTGAGCTCCTGCTTCAGTCCATTTTCCAGTCAGTCTTGCTCACCCTTCTTGTCCCATAGAACAATTTTGTCTTGCTGCCTTGCTCAGCCTGTCATTAATTTGAACTCTTCATTTGTTGAGTTCCTTGTACTTACAAGATTTTTTTTCCCCTATATCTCTGGATATATAAAAGAAAGCCTACAAACAAAAGCCAGGCTTCCCCCCACCACCCCCACCCCCCGTCTCAAGTTAAATGTTTTATTTGCTAATAAACCAAATCAATATATGTGTTTTTATTCCCCATTTCTGTGCTCCTGCATCTGCCTCCCCTGGTCCAGCTCACCTTGCCCCATAACCAGTGCTAACATCAAACCCTTGCTTTTCAGGCTTGTGGGAGCTACACTGTGGAATAAGCTGGAATTTCAGAGCAGGAAAGGGAAGTTGGATATTTTCCACCCCTTATCACCACAGCAATGAAAGGCAGCTATGATTGGGGTATAAGCTCTTTTGGAAACCACTTGGCATCCCAAAAGGCTTGAAGTTAAATATAAGATAAAAGCATGCTGGCAGTCACATTCCAAGGCACCAGTTAGGAGCAGTGGAATGGGGCAAAGATTCCCTGTTATCTTCTGAAGTGTGCTGCAGCCAGGGCTGCTTGGCATGGCCCCTTCCAGCTACCCTGGATGCCACATGAGCTGGCCTTTCAGTTCCTCCTTTGGTGGCTATAAATGAGGCTACACCTTCTTCCTCAACTCTATTTTATGTTTTGTAAGTCAGATAAAAGCCATCAACCTCAACTTTCAATACAACCATTACAGAGAATTTCCCCCAAAAAACTATAAATAATATTCCCTGTAAATACCTGGCTGTTTTGTTGGAATTTGTCTCAGGATATTTAGCAGCATTTTGCAGGAAGAACAATGTATAGTTACAAAAAGTTAAAGCCCTCGTGGGTGCAAGCA